CAATCAAACTGTTTTATTCCACTCTCGTATTCGCTTATGTACAACGGGTGTGTAGAAAGCTACTCTGCAAAATTTGTAAGAAATCACTCTCTTACACGATATTCTCTACATTGTGATTGGTTGTTGCTAAGTACTGATTTAAAAGGTTACTAAAGGTTGCGTTGATCATATAAACCGATCAATGTCCCAAAATCACTACAGGCGGTACTTCTAGCTCTTGACATAATGTTCACACTCATCATCTGACATGTGTCACGCACGTATGACAAAGTCTCCGACAAACATAAAATTGCGTATTATCATCATTCAATGCAAATAAGTAGGAAAAACTTATTGACATTCCTACAATTCTCGGAGGCCTTAGGTTGCAGCCTGAAAAAAGAGTGGCTCTCGCCCTTTTCTACATCCTTCGGGCTTTCCCCTTGCGCGCGCATCGGGTTTCCTCGCCTCTCTTCAGGAGATGAGTCCGCGCTCTTCCACCTCCCTGAAAAGTTCAAAAAACGAATTCTATAAAATTTTTCCAGTGTATACTGATCTTAAAAACATAAAGTAAGATAAAAGCTGATAAGTGCTACATGTTTTATGGTATTTTAACTTCAAAATCCTCATCCAACAGCTAATCTCTGAATTCTTCCCGTTTTTGTCCAATAGGTCGCCTTACAAATTTACATCTTACTGCGACGAGGGAGCGTAGACTTAGGATCGTTTGAAGATCTGATTGTTGTTCTCAGTATCCCAAAATCCCTTGCTCTCTTCGCCTTACACCTTGTGATCTATGCACGATATCTCAGGGACGGAGATGAAGAAAGTCCGCAGATGAGTTGGTGTAGTTTTAGTTCGCTTTTGTATTTCGTGTGGCGTCTGTTTATGCTCACATCCAGGATCTTAGCTCTCGCTCTGTTTGCCTCTCATTTCACTCGCTTCGTGTTTGTGGTTGCCGGAATTCACTTTATTTTATCATACGCCCTGCTATGGAGACAGAATTGCGAATATTTCGAGGGCGCTCCGATTAAACAGAAATTATTCAGATGTGCTATTGCGTATGTCCATATGTTCTGCTTCTTTCCACTGGAAGGCAAAAACACTCGGAAATGGGGTTATCCGTATTACATAGTGACTTTTATCGAAAACAGTGCTATAGTTCTTCTGTGGAACTTTGTGGCCAGTTACAACCTGAAATTCAGAATAACAATGCTGACTGCAGAATGGACGACTTTTGCAATCGGAATAGCTTCTCTAGTGTTATTCTATCGCTGTTTTCATCCTTCATCTTATCTGACTACGGAAAGATCAGCGAGGCAGATCCAGAGCGTGACTGAAAACGGCTCCATGCATCAAAGTTCTTCGACTTGTAATGTCAATGACGTGTGAGAGAAAAGAATATGGTTTTTTCCGGGAGTGGTACAGATCAGGAGCCTAAGTAATGACTAACTTTTACCGCTCACTGAGAACTACGAATACAAAACCAACAAAAAACTGGCAATAAAAATTGTTTGTGTTACAGCTGCTTGTCACTTCATCAATATTGATAACCTTAAAAAGGCTCTGGAAAAATATTGTGACATTTTTCGTGGCGGTCATTTTATGTTTGTCACCCTAGTGGTATTGGTCCAC